AGGAAGGAGAGAACGGGGTGAGGATCGGTGGGAGGGAGAGAGGATGCGTTATAGAGTCGTTTGCATTTTTGGAAAATATAATCGACCGGCTTGAATTGATCGGCGACGAGACAATTGGCCGGGCGCTGGTCCCGCTCGTTTGCTTTTGCTCGAATTCACGCTGTGAAGCGTCGCGAAAAACCACGCTGATCGACGCGACGCGCGTCGAGAGAATTCAACTTGGAATTTATTCTCACAACAATCTGCGTGTGTTATTGCAGTCCTCGATTTGAAATGTATTCATTCCCCTCCCGATTGCTGTCTGGCCCGATAGCTCGATAATTGTGATAAGTGAAGCGAAGAGCCTTAGACAAACGCGCCATTGTTTTTCTCTTATTAAATATTCATAAAAAATATCCATTGTTATGAATAATATTATTTTGATTAAAAAAGTAATTATAAAGCTATAAAAAAATTTTAATTGAGAAATCATTTGGCAACTCCAAAGAATCGAATTCAAATTGCAAACTTGAAAATTAAAAACTTCGTTAGAAGCTAAATATAAAAATAACACGTTGTTGTGTGAATTTCAAACACAACCTCAAGCTCCGTGCGTTTTTATCATCTCCCATTGGTCTCTTTCCAATTTGTTGTTCTATTAAACATATTTCGATCGACTTTGTGAAGTTACAATCAGTAGTTACACTTGCAAAACTGATACTCCCACATTGGTTTGCAATAAACGTTATTAAAAACTAGTACATAGTTTTTTTTTTTTTTCACCGTTGTATTGTTTAAGTGTTCTGTGTCAATAAATTGGAAATAAAAATTGCTTTGTAAATCTCCCGTCCAGTCACGGGCAAATATACCCCCGACAATTTAGCCTCGAGTACTTCGACTTTTTGAATCCCGTCCGTCGCAGGTTTTCAAATCTATATCGAGTACAGAGAGACACTTTTTTGCGTAGAGAGACGTACGCGTTTGCACGTGGCAGTAGGGATGATTGTTACAGAAAAGAGAGCGTTTTGCGTATACAACGAGAGTGAGGAAGGGGGGAGGGGATGATCGGGAATAGATTAAACGTGCATTCGAAATTTCGATTAAACGGGATTTCGATACACACGAAACATGTCCCGAAGGGAAATTTACCGAATGTAGTGTCCGGTCGGGGACGTTTTCGTTCGTTCGGAGTCATTGTCCCGATCGGACGGGGGGAGGGAGAAAGAGAAAGAGAGAGAATGAGAAGGATATGCGATATATAACGGCTAGGTGAAATTGTCATAATAATCGTCCGCGGGCGTATATAACGTGGCTGGATAAGTTGTACGAGTACATACCGCGATTGTCGGTGAATTTCCGCACAGGATACATGTATTAGGTGTGAACGACGAGAGAATCTGCATCCCTCTCTCTCTCTCTCTCTCTCACTCTCTCCTCCGCACGCAAATCAAGCAGACAGCCGGATGGTTTAATTATCACTGAAGCGTGATTTGCCCATAGCCCTCGTAATCAAAGATATCGACGCGAACAAATTCACGGTGACGTACGCGACCGTACGACCATCTTTATAATTAGATATAACACGAAATTGCATGTAAAGAAAGAGATATAAAGTATATTTGTCATTAAATATTGTAAAATAATAATTTGTCGATATGAATATTACAAAAAACTCATCACGGTTCGTATAAATGCACAGCCGCGAGAAAGAAAGAAACGCAAAAGAATGCACCTGACGCCGCAACTTACATCGCGCGTTATATATATATATATGTATATATATGTATATATATGTATCTGCGAGATTTTATATTCCCTGCTATTGACACTCTTTTATTACTTCGCGCTTCTCTTGGGATATCGTCACGTTTCTTACGGAATTAAATAAAAAATGCGTCCGTGCTTCCACGTCTGTGCACGTCTTCTTTTGTCGGCGCAACGACAGTTAATGACTGGGTTCTTTCTTTCATCTTCCGGTATATTCCACGCTAGACTGAAAATTGGTCCCGCGGGGAACGAAAAGAAGAGAAATAGATCCGAAGGTGCGCGAGCGCGCTAAAGGATCGAAGAAACGTAAAAAGCCGGAAAAAAAAACTGAGGAATATCGATATGCGGGTGAAGTAAAAACAGAATCGGAATGAGACAGTGAAACGTCGCTTTGACGGTACGCCGATCAAAGCGTGAGACGACGGTAGACGCGAAAATCTTTTTGTACGGAATTCATTTTCGTCGAGCGTTCCGCTCGATTATCGCCGCAGTCTGCTAAAACCATCGGCCGGAAAAATGTCGGCCCTTTGAAACGCGAATTAGGATCGCCCGTAAAAGGGCGACGAATAGTTAAAGGTTCTCGCGAACTTGACGAAGAGAGTATTCTCGTAATTTTCTCTCTTGTGTTTTTCTTCGTTTACTCACCGTGAGCGCCACACGTCGGGCGGTTAACAACGTCGCGAGAGAAGCATCCTTCTGTTTCGCTATTATTCTCCACCGCTTTGTATCGCAGACAGGCCAGAGCCGAAAGAATCACGAAGTTAATACTCTTTCTCTCTTTTTCTTTGAAGTCGAAATTCTTCCATTTGTCAGACGCCAATCCGTATACGATTCCACGTATGTGGCTTTGTAAACATTTTCTTCCTTTGGAGGTCAAAAGATGACTTTTCGTTAAACACAGAACTTCGTTCTTTGCTCTGTCTAATGCACTGCAACTAATTACGATTCTTAGAACAGAACTCGGGAATAGATTTTTTTTTTTTTTTTCAATAAATTTTGTACACGAGTACATAATATGTGAAAAATGTTGTTACGTTGTTCGATATAATGTTGAATTATTAAAAACATATAGATTGTGCTTAAGTTGTCGCGTCAATTAGTAATTAAAAAATCGTCCAGAAAGATCTAGCAGCAAATTGATGATTTATTGCTGCGCATATATAAATCCAATTGTCGCATCTGATCGGGGCGTAATACGGGAAGCATTCTCTTGTGTACGAAAGATTAACATCTCAATTCATAATGCTGTTCATTGTTCAGCACGTGAATCCGGCAATGCAGTCCCGGCAATGTATGTATGTTTATGCCGGTGCTATTGGATAATTATTTATGTCTCCAGAGGCGCGGCGCTTATTCCATTCCAACTTCGACCGCTACAACGCGGTTGTGTATTAATTGCCACTTTAACCAAAAGTCTAAGATATCACCGTAGATGTGAAATAACGCAAGTTTTTTTTTTTTTTTTTGTTTCTAATATTAACGTTTCCATATGTATTCATGACGTGTGTGCGCTCTATTCTACATTTATATAGCACATATATTTTACATTATATTCATAACGTGGCTATCTTATCAACGTAAGGTTACAAAGAGAGAAGCTACGTTTAAAGGCCCTAGGGCCGTAAATCCGGAGCAGCGTTGGAATAACGTGTTGCCCCTAAAACCGAGACGATAACCGTCCGAACGTAATACATGATGGGGAGAGAAATGCACAAAGAGAGAGAGAAAGAGAAAGAGAGAGAGAGAGAGAGAGAGAGAGAGAAGGGGAAAGAGAGAGATTGCTCGAATTCATAGTGTCACACCATTGCTGCTGGTGGGACGATCGGCAGCATCGAGAAACGACGCTCGCACGTCCGTAGCCAGTAGTAGTACTGTGCGGTAATTTGAAATGCAGGAGCACGTCGCGCATTATATATTGACTGCACTACTAGCACGGGCAATGTCGTCGGCATTTCCGAAGTTGTCTCCTCGCGAAATCCAGCGATGGCTGACTCCCGATTCGCGCCGATCATCATCGAAGCTTCTACTTCTTATAGGAGATAGCAAGTAATTTCGGAAGTAACAATATAGTATATATTCTTTGTAAAAAAATTGCAGTTTACACATTTATTTTACGGTTCTAAAGATAAAAAAAAAAAAAAAAAACAAATTCAGATGATGATTTTCGGTGATTTAATCTTTAAATTGTTTTTTAATCGAGATTAAGACAATCGAAGATTCACATCTTGAATAAACTGCAATTACTAACAAACAATGTCCGTGAATATATAACTGATCGTAAATGCCGTAGCTATAATCGTGAGACGCAACGAATTACGCACCAATGCAACTTTTGTCCGAAAAATTTTTTTAAATCGTATTTCTTTTTCATAAAAAAAAAAAAAAACAATCAAGAAGACGTTTCTATACAATATTACTTCGCGGAATGGCCGCTTTCAGAGAATTGGAGAATTTCCGCTTCCAGAACTTTTGATGAAGAGAGACGACAGTTGACAATACCAATTTCCACACATAATCATAGTAATCAATCATATAGTGGGCGAGGCATAATGAATTGATAGACAATGCGCGTATGATTTCCCTCTTGAGCCAGTCAATAGACAGATGATGGATTGCACTTGCGTTTTGAATTTGGTTAAAAATAACTGTAGTTAGGATAAAGAGGAAGAGAGACACACGACATGGTACTCTCTCTCTCTCTCTCTCTCTCTCTCTCTCTCTCTCTCTCTAGGACTGAAAAGAGAGAAATGAGCAATGGATATAGGCCGGAGGGGGCGCTGTTATACTAATTTGGCGGGTGCTCGTTAACGACCCCTTTGAGGTCATAACTTTTGCCGCAAGCGCGACGCGTGTGCGAGCGCGGGTAGTGGCGCGAAGCGTGCGATGTACCCGGTGTCCTTTCTACATCGCGCGCTGCATCTTCTCTCTCTCGCCCCTGAGCTGTCGCGTTGTCGCCCCACTACCGACGGTTTCAACAGCGCTTCAACACTACTCGGCAGTCAGTACTCCAAAAGCATCGCGGGCGCTTTCGTAGCTCCTCTTCACCCTTCTCCATCCACCTCCCTCCCCGTCAGAAGGGGGTACGCACGTTACTCGACGAGCTTTCGGGCGCATGCCCGGCCAATCAGCGCGCACGGCGCGCAACGTAATCGCGCGTTCGGGTGGGGATGAGAAACGTGCTCTTCATCTCGCGGACGCGGACGATCCTCGAGGAGCTTTTCCGCAAGCTCAGTAAGCGCCGCGAGCTCGCCGTGGCCGGAAGTGTTTGGCGGCTGTTCCGCATTGACTCGCGTCCCACAAACTTAGATCGCGCGAGACAAGCGCGCGCGCGCGCGCGCCAAGTTCCGAAATTTCGTGCGGGAGAAAATTTTCGAAGAGAAAAGTCGTGAGCCTGAGCAAATTGTGATATTTTCGCCGCGGTGTTTTTTTCCCGAAAACTTGCGCAATTGACCGCGCGCCGAAGCGGCGCACGCACTTGACTTGGTTCTCCAGAAAGTTACTTCACGCGGGGAGACATAAAAGAAATACAGCTTTGAACTCCGTACGAAAAAAACTCGTAACTTTTTATTCAAGAAAGTATAAAAAAAAAAAAAAAAAAAGAAGACAATTACGGAGAGAAAGTCTCGTGCATCGATCGAGCGCTTTGATCAAAGATAAAAAAGATAAAGGCTCGACTACAATCTCGATGAATAGAAGGAACGTCTAGATGTGCTAACGAACACTTCAAGTTACTTCGCCAAGTTACGCTAAGGGGATCTTTCTCTCTCTTTCTTTCTCTCTTTCTCTCTCTCTCTCTCTCTCGGACTGGTCCGCGAAGAATCGCGGGGTAGCTTTCGGAGGAGCTGACGTCATCGAAAATAAACAAGTAGATCGAGGATTCGCGGGGGTGGTGGGTATTATGTCCCAAGGCTAGACGAAAGAAACCGAACAGCAGCGGCAGCAGTCAGAGAAGAAGAAGAAGAAAGCAAAGGAAGAGGAAGAGGAAGCGGGGGAGAGTGAAAAGACGTTAGAGGGAGCATTGAGAGCGAGAAGGACGAGAAGGAGAGAAGCAGAAACCTTCGGAAGCTTCGAGGCTCGGGCCTCGGGGTTATTACGAGAGGCAGGCGAGATAGGATTTCGATCGAGGCACTTTCGGGCCGCGGCGGTTAGGAACCGATTAATGCGATCGGCTTTAATTAGCGATCGAGTATTTCGCAGTCGTAACTCGCTTTTGAGTCTTCTGACAATCCCGCGTGATTCCTAACGTTTGCTAATTGAGACGTCGTCGTCATCGTTGTCGTCGTTGTCGTCGTCGTCGTCAGTAAATCGAATTCTCCATCTCGATGCTATCTCAAGATACTCTCGGTGTCATTCGTCAATGATGACGAGCGTCGCTTTCGCCGAAACTGTTATCGACTGATTGATCGGACTGTCGGATTCTCTGACGAGGGATTGATCTCTCAAGTATTGTAAGTCGAACGGAGGTGGACGATGTTCGATAGAACCACGTAAGGATCACGCGTGCCTGTTTCTTTTCGCTTTTCTTTCAACGAGGGATTCTGGAGAAGGAGCTAAGATGTGCGTTAGATCTTTACTGCTATGCGTCCTCGGTATCGTCGCTATCGTCAACGGTAAGTCCATAAAATTATTGGATATATATATATATTGATAGCATAATAGTAAAAACTTTAATCAATTGAAAATTTTCAAAGATATTCGGAGCAGATCGTTAAAACAGATCGTTGTTGCATACACTATGCTCCGAGATGTCGGGAAAATTGTTCGCTTGTCAAGCAACTTTTTTTTTCTTTTTAAGCTCGAATTTCGCGCGTGTAAATTCTGCGCCCGGCTTCGGGAACGTAAGTAACGGCTTATCCGTCACTCTTTCTCGTTTCTTGTTCTTCGGCGTGCTTTTCTCCACGCGGCGCAGCGGTGACAAGGCGACGCGGATGGACCTTGCAGAAAAAGAAGGATGTGAGGAGTAGACGGGAAGGGGGTTGAAAGGCAGAGTCGACGAAAATGCTCGCTCGTCGAGCACGCGGGAACACGACGGTTTTATACATGGCCGGTTTTTATGGGCGCACGCCATACGCGCGTGCCGATGGTCGTAATCTATGTGCTGAAATCGGGAGGGAGGATAACGGAGAGAGAGAGAGAGACGAACAGACACGGTTTTAGCGCAGCCGGAGCAACAAAGAGAAATAGAGAGAAAGAGATAACAGAAAAGAGACCGGACATTTTCGCAAAAGGCGAGAGAGGAGGAGAGACACTGGGAGAGATGCGAGACGAAGAGAGAAGAGGAGCAGCAAAAAGCCAGGGCCAGGTTGAGGTTGTTAACGCGTGCTAACGGAGCTCTTTCTCTCTCTCTTTCTTTCTGTCTTTCTCTCTCGTTGTACGAACTGCGAGAGAAAAAGCGCTGATATTTTTGCCGTTTCAACGTGTATCGGCGCCAGAGAAAAAGAGGCTGCGATCGGCGCGACGAGAAATTACGCCACCGGGGTGCAGGGAGGGAAGGTAATATCATTTTTGTTCGAGATAAATTGAAATACCGACCAAATAATGATTCTCTTTTTCATCGGTTTCCGAGCTGCACGCGCAAACCGTTATTCATGTTTATTTTTACGTTCTTTCCGCTTTCCCATTTGTTTAGAATCTATTTACTGACGAAAAAAGAAAAAATGATTTGTGTTTTTTTCAAACGTATTCACAAAATACTTACGGCAGAGTTTATACGCAATAATTATTGCGCGTGATAACTTCGGTAACTTAAAGCACCGTGTGTATTTTACCATGATATTTTTCCGCCTGAAAGGATTTTGTTTAGACAGCACACCGCGGTGTTGCTGTGTGTTTGACCGCGTTTATATTAATTAATATAATCCGGCTTTTGCGTGCGCGGTGCTGCGGCTTGCGCGCGGCTGCGCCATTGCACCGAAAAAGCTAATTGTGAACACTCGCAAAAGAGAGAGAGAGAGACAGAGAATGAGAGAGCGAGAGAGGCGCTTTTCGGCGCTTGGATATGCGGCAAAAATACAGAAATATCAACGAAACCGACCAAACACTTGGCGCGCAAGATATGCGCGCGATGCTTTCGCCATTGTTTGAACTCCGTGTAATTAATTAATCATATGACGTTATGCGCGCGGCATCGCAAATATTTGAGATAAAAATGCATAACAGTATGCATCGTGATTAATGGCGGGCATGAATGTTCGTTGCGCGTACACACAGCCGAAGGAAAATTTCATTGCGATTGCAAACACTAGGAAATGGGTAGGCAGACGGAAAATATACCGTTTGCGTAGAATTAAGAAATACAAACATACATATGTTGCAGTATAGTTGTACAGTTTGTTAAAATGAAAACGTCAGTTTGTCAACACGCACGAAACGCGCGCGCGATAAAAGACTTTAGATGAACTTTGAAACAAAACAAGGCGAGAAATATGTATAAATTTACTTTTATTATGTTTCAACTATATTTCTCAATATAACTCTATATTTATCTCTTTCTGTCTCTCTCTCTCTCTCTCTTCTTCTTCTTTTTGCAACGAGCTTTGTAATATACGCTGCCGGGCGATTGAGACACGTTTTACAGCAACACGGCGGATGTGTGAGAAACGTACAACAGGAGCCAAATCTCAGTCGCGCGATTTGATTCCCGTTCGAATCCGCACGAACTGCCGGGTATTGTCGAACTCGTGAACCAATCATCGTCAGCAAGCTGGCGCGAGCGTGATTTCGAGCGATAGAAAGCACGACGCTTGCACGTTATATCCGTCGTCTCCGGAAATCTAGTCCTCCTCGTATTGGCTATCGCGCGAAATCGACCGTCGTCCGAGACGATCGTCCCCCATCGACTCGAGGCTCGATCGGTCCGGTGACAATTGCATGTTTAACTTCCGGTCGTCTTAAAAGGCGCTTTAAATAGCGTATGTAGTTTTGAATAGGAATCGTTCGCGGAACGTGTAGGGGTTTTCACATACATACATGCACACACAGACTATGCGCAAGATAGTTCGCCGATAAGAGAAGTCAAATTTCCGCGAAGAACAGTTTTCTACAAAAACAAACACTGACGATGACAAACGAAAATTTGCTTATAAAAAAAAATTTAGCAGATAATCTGTCACTTGATTCGGTGCTTTTGTTATAAACTCGCTATTAAGGCGATGGTTATGGTTTCGAGTATTTGCGTTCTAAGTCCCGTTTTAGCCCCGTGGTGATTTTCTAATCACCACGTGACGGCGGCACACGCGGAACTGAGTCGCCTGTAATGAGACGCGCGTCGAGACGTCAGCATGATTGACGCAAGACTCGAGGCTACGAGAGCACAAATAACACACGTCCGAAATTATTGACACAGTTTGCCCGATATATAACGGTGATAACAAATTAATGTGTCATTTCATTTTTATTTTAAATAGAATCTCGAAAAAGACAGATTAATTTTTTTATCCGTATCTATATATCGCGCCAACCATATTGCAAAGCGTTCATTGAATAAAATGAATGTAACACATAAATAAAATCGACTGAAGTTTTATATGCAACGAAGGTCTGTGAAATTTTTAGATCATCCTAATAACGACATGCGATCGGAAAAAGTTACAGATACACGATTAATAACAAACTGGTGACTAGACTAGTTCGTTTGCACGATTTATATCGCGATATAAATTAAGGCTCTATCGTATAGTGACTAATTTATAACCGCTAATTTATCGAGTAAATAGACGTCCTAGTCGCGCGGAGAAGACCATCTTAATGTCTAATTTAACCGCTCTAATTTATATCGAGTAAACATTGAATTATGTAACTTCTCATCGCAGAAACGTCTATACATAATTAAATGTGTTTGCTCGATGCGGTTAAATTCACGATTAAGTTTAGACGTTAAAATGATCTTAATTGCATATCGCGCGAGATGAAAAAAAATGCGAACGAAACGATCAATGATAACGAGATATTACGCGCGATGGGAGAGCGGAGCACGTGGAGCAATTTGAGCGAACTTTTAGTTGAATTTTCAACCGGTCGCGAGACGAACGCGCGAGAGAATTTCTCCCGCGAAATTTTACGGTGGTCTTTTTCCACTTGGCGGATTACGAGCGCACATCCAGGTGAAAATGCTTCCGCTGGGATACGGGGGACGCGGTCGCGCACGGGAATATTGCTTAGAAACACTTCGTGAACAACGTACGAAATGCGTAAGAGATCTAAGAGAACGCTACAATCCTTTTCACAATTCGCACCGTTTGATAACGTGTACACCGAGAGAGAGAGAGAGTCGGAAATTTTGAGCTTGCGGAGAGATAAGAGAACGGTAAAACGAGCAAATATTCAATGCTTATCAAACTTGATATCGCGTGTTTCTTATGACGTAGCGATGTTTTACGTACTTTTTACATGTAATTAAATGAATAGGCGCATTATGTATTTATATATCTATATGACACATTTTGTCTAGGTTAGTGATTACACGGCTCGATAATTAATTGTCAAACCGAACACACACGAGTGTTATTTGCATTCAATTAATTATTGATACACACATGAAAATGATGATAATGACGCGGAATACCTGCCAGTCATCGAGTTAATCATTAAATGAATAGCCCGCGGAGCGACAGCGGCACGCTAAGCTCTGTGAGAGAGCCGTACAAATCACGTGACACACTCCTTAGTTTGCATTCATTTATTAACAAATTAGCTGAACGCATTTAATTGACGCGTCTTTTCTAGCGCGTTTTTTTTTCCGCGCGACAAATTTTCCAAAACGTAACAATAAAACGTGTTATATAATAAGATCACGCAAAAAACGAGAATTTCTGCAAGCGCGCAGAGATTTTTATCCGGAAAAAAAAAACAAATACACACGTCGCTCGCCGACATGTGAAATTACGTACACACGGTGACTGATAAACTGAGACACGCGGATAATTCGAGACCGAGAAAGAGAAGGCATAGAGTTTCTCTCTCTCTCTCTCTCTCTCTCTCTCTCTCTCTCTCTTCTCCTTTGCCTTCTCCTTCTCTGTCTCTGCTACTCCGCAGAATCTACCGGTCTTCGCGCGAGCAAAAACCGCGCGCGAATTACAGCGGAGCAAGGCGGGTTGATTAATTACGACGCCGACGACGCGACATGTGTGCGATGTGCATGTCGGCGCGAGTGCGCATCGCTCCTTCGTCGATGTGACGACGTCGAGGTCGGACGATGATGTGACGACGACGACGACGACGACGACGACGACGACGACGTCGTCGTCGCCGACAACGACGATGCGGGCGTCTTTCCGCATGGCGTACTATGAGCACGCATATTTGCGACGTTCGTATGAGTATCGCGAGAGACGCAACGTTATATAAGACGACGCTCGCGGATACATCGATGCAAGTGCACTCGCGTGTTTGCTCGAACGTTTGCACTTACATATGCGCACGCACATGTCTAGTAAATGTACACTCGTGTGCGTATTAATTCTCGAATTTAAATTCCGAGCTCATTTAAGCGGAAATAATTGACGAAAACTCGAAGAAAATTGTTAAAAAGTTTCGCACGTAAAACAAAGTCAAGGTTGTTTTCGACGTGTAACAAAAAACTGATAAAACAAAAAACTTGCTTGAATTTTAC